ATTCAACAAAGGAGGACTTAGAAACTGATAAAAGGATATGAATGTAAACTAGCAAGAAGCAGCCCTAACAATATAAATGATTTGGAATGAAGGGACCAAACATAGTATTTCTATGTTTGCAGATGACAAGGGCTTCAAGGGGATTTGGATAAACTGAGCGAATGGGAAAGAACATGGCAGATGGAATGTAATGCAGATTAGTGAAAGGATATGTAGTTTGGCTAGAGAAATGGAGATGCACATTTGTTAAATGGTGAGAGATTGAATTGTGTTGATGTCTAAAATGAGCCGAGTGTCATTTTATACAAGGGCTGAAACAGGCAATCAGGATGGAAAATCGTATGTCAGCATTTATTGCAAGAGGATTTGAGCACAGGAGTAAGAATATCTTGTTTCAATTGTATTGAGTTTGAGTGAGACTGTGAATAGAGTATTGTGTGGAGTTTTGATCCCCTTACCTAAAGAAGGCTCTATGTGCCATACAGCAGAGGTTGACCTAACTTCTGGGTAGGCAGGGCAGTCCTTTGTGGTGAACTGAGGAGGGTGCCTGTATTCTCTAGAGTTTAAACAAATTAAAGGTGATCTCATTGAAATTAGTCCACTGTTGTTCGTCATTTATATAAATGATTTGGATGATAATTTAGGATGCATGGTTACTGAGTTTGCCAATGACACCAAAAGTAGTAGCATACTGTACAGCAAAGAAGGTTACCTACGATTACAAAGGGATCTTGATCAATTGGGCCAAAGGGGCGAAGAATGGCAGATGGAGTTTAATTTGGATAAATGTGAGGTATTGCATTTTGGTAAGATGAACAAGGCCAGTACTTATACAGTTAATGGTAGGGTCCTGGGGACTGTTGTCAGATAGCCCTAGGGGTTCAGGTACACAGTTCTTTGTATCACAGGTAAGACAGGCGATTAAGAGACGTTCAGCACGCTTGCCTTCATTGCTCAGACCACTCAGTATTGGAGTTGGGACATCATGTTCTGGCTGTACAAGGCATTCGTGAGGCCACTTTTGTAGTACTGTGTACAGTTCTGGTTGCCATGCTATAGGAAGGATATTATTAAATTGGAGAGGGTGCAGAAAAGATTTACAAGGATATTACCGGGTCTGGAGTATTTGAGTTGTAAGGAGAGGCTGGATAGGCCGGGACATTTTTCACTGCAACATAGGAGGTGACCTTATAGATGTTTATAAGATCGAGGGGTATAGATAAGGTGAATTGCAAAAGGTCTTTTCCTTAGGGTAGGGGAGTTCAGAACCAGAGGGCATAATTTTAAAGTGAGAAGGAAAAGATTTAAAAGGGACCTAAGGGGAAACTTTTTCACACAGAGGGTGTTTTGTATGTATGAACTGCCAGAGGAAATGGTAGATACAAGTAGTGACAATATTTAAAAGACATTTGGATAGTTACACAAATAGGAAAGTTTTAAGGGGATATGGGCCAAATGCAAGCAAATGGGATTAGTTTAGTTTGGGGAAATTTGGTTGCAATGAATGAGTTGGGCTGAAGGGTCTGTTTCCATGCTGTATGACTCAATGATTCTGAGGCTCCCCATGGAGGGTCTAGAGCCAGGGATCATGTTCTCAGAATGACCTGCAAACTATTTAGGACTAAGATGAGGAAAACATTATTCACTCAGAAGATGGCGATTCTTTGGATTTCTTTATCCAGAGGGTTTTCGAAGCTCAGGTAATGAATATGTTCAATCTAGAGACTGATAGATTTCTAGATACAATTGGTATCCAGGGACATCGGATAGTCCAGGAAAATGGCAATGAGGTAGATGATCAGCCACCAACTAGAATGGTGGAGCCAATTTTACAGGCTGAATGGTCCACTCCTGCTTCCATGTTTCATTTAGACAAAGGCTGTAATGGGGTTCAGAAACAAGTGGCCTTTGCTGAACCAAAACTGAACATGTGAGAAAGTTATTGCTCCACAAGCACTGCTGGAACTATTATTGATCCATAAATTACCAGACTAGATGTGTCCCACTTTTTGTGGACAAGTCACAACTGGGGTAATTTTCAACATTGCCAAGCAGATGTCAGTGTTGGAGATGTACTAGAACAACTTGGCTAGTTCTAGTCTTTAAAACATCTGCCAAAATGTTGTCAGGACCCATAACTTCTCAGTATCTATACTTTAAGCTACTACTTGACATTATGTGGACCAAATCCGTTGTCTGTAGACTGGCATCCATGATGCTGGCGACCTCAGAAGATCACGTTGGATTACCTGATCAGCATATCAGCTGAGAACTGTTGCATATACTTTTTTACTGACCTGCTGAGGTTCCCCATCATTAAGGATGGGGAATTTTTTTGAAGCCTCTTCCTGCAGTAAGTTACTTAATTATTTGTTTCCATTCATGTCTGAATGTCGCAGGATAGCAAAAACTTGACTTGATTCACTGGTTGTAGGATCAATTAGCTCTGTCTATTGCATGTTGCTACACTATTTGGAATGCATGCGGTCCTATGTTTTAGCTTCACAAGGTTGGTACCATATTTTTATTTCTGCCTGCTGTTCTGCACTCCTCATTGAATGAACGGGAATCGACCCTCTGGCTTGATGGTAATGGTAAAGGAAATGCTGAGCTACGAGGTTTCAGATTGTGATTAAATATAATTCTGCTGCTGTTTCAAAGATGCTCCATTTTGGCTGCTAAATCTGTTTTGAATCCATCTCATTAAGCAGCGTAGCAGCGCTGCAAAAATAATCACAGTAACAAGATAGATCTTTGCCTTCACAAGGACTATGTGATCATTCCTACAATACTGTAATAGTCAGATGCATCTGCAATAGGTAGATTGGTGAGGGCAAAGATCAAGAAGGTTCTTCCCTCTTTTGGGTTACCTCACCATTATCCTTCAAAAGGAGATGAGGCATTTTAAAAGAATCTTAGTTCAATCTTGCTTAGAATATGGTCTTGTTTTGGCCTTCTCAAATTGTTCATGGAACTCAGCTAGGCACCATACTTAGAAAGCTTATCAAGCTCTTGGAAATAGTAAAAGAGATTCATTAGAATGATACCACAGATGAGGGATTTTCACTATGTGGAGAGCTGGAGAAGCTAATATTATTTTTTCTTAGAACTGAGAAGGATCTAATTTGATTTAAAATCATGAACATTTTTGGTAAAGTGAAGGAGAAATGGTTTCCAGTTGGTAATCAGGGGAGACAGACTTAAAACGAATGGCAAAACAACCAGAGATAATGAGGAAACATTCCAACATGCAGCAAGCTGTCGTGATTTGGCATACATTAGCTGAAGGAGTAGAGGAAGCAGATTCAAGGGTAACTTTCAAAAGAGAATTGAATAAGTACTTTAAAAGGGGAAAAAGGCAAATGGGGAAAGAGCAGGACAATGGTATGGCTATTGAATTAAACCCAAACAGCAACCAGAAGTATTGAGCTGTACCATTCCAAAAAACTGAGGTGAAGGTAGCTGTGGTCCAAGAAAGAAGTTTGTCATTAAACTTCGGTACGTGCTAAGTTCACCATATAGTGGAAAATAAATTTAATGCATATCTGAACTGGGTTTACAGTAAAGCTGAATCTGATACTGAAATAAAGGACGTCACAATGGTTACAGTAAAGGAGTATTCAGCTCACATTATCTATATTAGATAAATTCATAGTGCAAATTTCATTGATACTTTTAGCAAGTACGCTAGGTGTTGAAAGAAAGAGTAGACCAATGTAAATGGTACATTTTTTAAAACCTGAAGAAATGAAACTTCAGTGAGACAATTAAAATTAACTAATAGCAAAGAAGTTAATTGGTCATTATCAACAATTATCAATCACATAATTAAAAGACACTTGGTCAAAACTTTCATGGATGAATTTAATTTGTGAATGGAAGTTAAATGTTTCACTACCACATAGGTTGTTCTCATTCCTTTTGATTTCAAGTTTTAAAAACTTACGATAACAACAAAAATCCTTTAGCCCGAAAGGACAACGTGAGAAAGGGTATAGAACGCACTGCCTGGGCATGTGGTGGAAACTGGATTAGCTGAGACTTCGAGAGGGCATTGGATAATTATTTGGATAGAAATGCTCTGCAAGTATATACGGTAAAAAGCAAGAAATTAGCACCAGATAATGTGAGCTGAATACTCCTTTACTGTAACCATTGTGACGTCCTTTATTTCAGTATCAGATTCAGCTTTACTGTAAACCCAGTTCAGATATGCATTAATTTCTCCCTATCTAAATTAAAAAAGTTGGACAGGAGTTGCAGTAATGATAATAATCCCAATCAATCCGCCGCTAAAACACTGTCGTTTGATTTTTTTTTCAGTGTGTCTTTTGAATGGACTGTTTCAGACCATTTTTTAAAAGGAAGCAAACCCATACAGAACAGAATTTAATCAATAAAAACCGAAAGAACTGCGGATGCTGTAAATCAGGAACAAAAACAAAGTTGCTGGAGAAGCTCAGCAGATCTGGCAGCATCTGTGATGGAAAAAAAGTTAGCTCTGTTTTTCCCTTGACAGAATTTAATGAATCCCATTTCTAAGGTTTATGACTGATTTACTTCAATGCTGACATGAGACTTTCTTTGTTAAAAGTTGCGTTTCGAATCTTCACCACCCACTCTCTACTCAACAAGGAATGAAAGCTTTAAGATACCAGGTCCTGCTTGGACGACCGCTGAATCTTCACAAAATCTGAGATTCATGGCACTGGTAGATGTAACCTAAATTTCCTCTTTCCACAACAGGGGAGGCGCGAAGAAGTTTCTCGAATAGGAACCCAAACCCAACGAACTGATTCCAACTTGAAGAGAGGGCGCCACGAAGACGATTTACCTTGAAACGCAGACCACCGAGTCGCCCAGAACATTCCTCGGGCAGCGCGATGCATATTGGGAGTTGTAGTCATCTAGCTGCAGGAGTGATGGTTGGGAGCCAGTATTTGGTGGCAGAGGCGGAACTACAAAGCCCAGGGACACTTGCGTCCGCGGTGCCTCGGACTGTGAATGGCTGGGGTAAGCGCCATATACAAGAGGAGAAGCTGAGCGGAGGAAGGGAGCTTGCCTTTCTTTGGTACTGATGATTGCGGCCATTGTCTCTTTTCCACCTTAGCTTCGCGAAATCAGAGACGGAGGAAGAAAAGAGAATCACAAGAAAAGAATGGGCAAGTTGGAGGAAATCGTACGCATCGCGAAGAAGATGGATAAAATGGTGTCTAAGAAGAACACGGTGGGTGTAGAAGCTGGCCGCCAGCCCGGCCGGCTGGGGTTGGCGATGCGGCGCGGTGCCCAGCCCGGCTGCTTGGCTGTGGGTTCCCTGCCTCCGGAACCGTTAGGATGCGGACAAGCCAAGTGCAGTGAATGGTTAAGCTGCTCACAAGCGTGAAGGGCATCCTCGGGCAGTAAACGTTAACTTTTATGGGGAAATGCTGAGGCTTCTGGCGCCACACTCCTGGTGTTTATAATGTAAATAAATGTTGGATCGGAGGACGCCCTTTGATCCCTTGTGTTCATCTGCTTTTAAATTCATATTGCTTGTAGTTTTGTTTGGGGGAGGTGGAGTGTGGTACACAAGGTTATTTGAAGGAGTTCCATGTTTTGTTAGAAATAATTGTTTCCAGTAGTAGATATTTGATTGGAAGTTATTGTTTTCCTTTATAGGTGCTAATATGGTGATGGGTATTTTTCAGAGAACATATTGATTCAATTTTTATTTTTAACTAGCGAATTCTGAATTAAAAGATGTGAAGTTAAATATTACAGTAATGTTCACAAGCGATGAGGATCTCTGGCCTTGCACTTGATGCATTTACGCAATGTCCTTGGCTGAAGTTAACTTTTTCTTGAGTTGATAATACAGAGGTGTTTATTTTGAAGGTGTGGTGGGGAGGGATATGAGTGCAGTCAGTATTGTTTGAATTGCAACTTTGGTAATTACATTTGGCATATGTATATTTTATGTATCCTCTGTTAGCTGAAGGGGTGTCATGATTTTTAATCCTTAGAATTTATTACTTATGGCTTGGTTTTGATTCAAGAGTCACTAGGGTGCAGTCACCTAAATGCAGACAAAGTTTAAGCTGCTCGAAACGTGGGACAACCTTTAGGTGTTCTACCTACTAGTGCAGACTGAACATCATTTGTTTCTAAAATTCTTCTGTGTTGTTTGGTAATATATAATATTTTCTAATTCTGATTGACCAACAGATTGGTAACAGTATTGTAAATTTTCATGCACATGTATTGGTCCTTAGTTATTCAGCTTATACTGCAAACTTATTGTTCTGCTTTTTCTGTTAATTCTGCAGAGTGGTGCTATCGATTTATTGAAAGAACTTAAAAGCATTCCCATGACGTTGGATCTGTTGCAGGTAAATGCACTTTGCATTTATCTAAATTAAACTCCATTTACCACTCCTTGACCCATTTGCTCATCTGATCAAGGTCCTGTTGTACTCTGAAGCAACCTTCTTCGTTGTCCACTACACCACCAATTTTGATGGTGAAAAGTGTATAATGTTGCCACACAAGGTGCCATCTTGGGTACAAGTACCTAGGTACAGAAACTTAAGAACAAGGTAGATAGAAAGAAAGAACCAAGTTAAAAGTTAAACATTGCAGTAATTATAGCACAGTGACACCTTCTTAGTTTTAAGTAGAAAATAAAGAAATAAAGCTGAAAATTCAAACATTATAGTCTTTGACTGCTTAGCTATGGTGGGACTGCACTTTAAGGAGTCACCTCGACCGGAAGTCCATGCTGGGCCAAGAGACTGCCACTTACCGCCGAAAGACCACCGTGCTGAGAGATCGCCCCTCCAGGCTGTGCGGCTGCCCCGCTAGGCCAGGTTTGCACTGAGTCCGAGGCTGGAAAGCTGTGGCCAGGCGAAGAAAAAAGAGAGAAGTGGGGGGGAATATGAGAGAAAAAAAGAAAGGGACACGGTCGGAGTGGACAAGCTCCGCTGCCATCTTGGATGTTTAAATTGCTCAGATTTTGGTGTCATCTGCACATGTACTGACCAGATCTCCTTATTCACATCCAATTGACTTACATAAATGACAAAAAAGCAGTGGACCCAGCACTGATCCATGCTAAAGTATGTTTGACTCAGGCTTCCTGTTTCTCTTTTATTTTTCCCTAAACATTGAAACCTTATGGCATAAAAAAAGAAGGTTCTAGATTTTGCTGGATACAATTTCATGGAACTGGCAGCTCTCATATCTTGCCCGGATGTCGTCACTCTTGGGCTTGCAAGAAGCACAACCAAACATACTCTTGGCCTCACTATTTATTAATGTAACAGAGATTCTGTCGGAGCACTGGAATGGAATGGAGTTACTAGGCATATGCTAACTAAAACTCAGATTTTTTGGTTTGTATGGCATAAGACCTTTCCATATTAGATTATTGGGTGAAATTACAAATATTTTTTAAAAACTGAATTTTCCATGTCATTGAAATATCTCAAATGACCCCCACTCTGAATAACTTTTATAGAACGTTGGCACACAATACCTTTGAACCACAAAGTCTTCTGAAAGGATAGATAATATTCTTCCTGAAGAAACTAATTTACAATTCAGCTGTTATATAAATGTAAATGCAATTTTGACATCATTGGTTGGCCAGAAAATTTTTGGATCAGTTTTCCTGGGGCGTTTGTCATAACAGTAAGCAGCAACATTTTGTTGCAGACTGATGTCTAGAGCTAATTTTCATGTGGTGGTCATTTTATACATGCAGTCATTAGGGTCTCCAGCTCTTTAAAGGAACATCATTTGGCCCTGTTAAAACAACGATACTCAATCCTGTGGACAAGAATAGAAACTTGTAACTTGCAAACAGACGTGTTGAAGTGATTACGATTTGTGGTTTCCTTTTCTTATATATGGAATTTGCCAACATCTGTGCAAAAGAGCCAAATTACTTTATAAAAATAAATTATATGTAAATTGCAAGATATCAACGTAACTGAAAAATGGGCCCGATCACAACAAGCTTCCTGCCTTATGACTAGGCTGTTGAATGGCTCTCTGTAAGTGGAGGAAAATACGAAGTTTACTTGCCACAAAAAGTTGTGATAGGAGTCTTATCTTTGCTTTGAATGTTATCTCCTGATTCATAAAATGGCCTCATGCAAACCAATTGAATATTAAAATCGAGAGGCACGGACTTGCTGGTTTCCAGCATGCATTGTTTTGTGATGATAATGTTCCCAGTCAAGTGAGTCATTTACTTGACTAAAGTTCATGGTTGATGCAGGCAGTGCCTCCTGTGACCTTCTTAAGACCTGAACAGTAGTAAAGTAATATTGTTTTTACTCGCATTTAGTGTTGTGGAGGTCTATGAAGAGTACTTCTTGCCTTGTCCAGGAAAGACCCAGCTGTCATACTCATTTCTTACTAACTCTTCTGAGAGATCAAGGAATTCCATACTTTGTTTCTAAGTTTAATCAGCTGAGTAATTTCCACTTCATTGTGGTCTCACTACCCTCGCATTTGACTATGCTACTCGAATCTTTTTCAATTTAATACCTGCTTAAAAAGGAATTGCAAAGATGATCATGATCCCAATCCTGCACCTTGCATTGATTTCCTCCTTCACTGTACAAATTTCAGCTCAAATAAGCAAAACAAAGCACTTTTTTTCAACAATAATGTCAAATGCTGCATCAATCCAATTATCCCTTCGTAAACAATTTGAACATTTTGAGCCTGACAAAACATTGCCTGTAACCTTTGAATATGTTGATTCTGAAAATCTATTGCACTCTTTGTGGATGCTGTAAATGTGAAGAAAAACATATTTCGTAGGAATACTTCTTGCCTTGAGTTCCTTTGTGTTATGTGACAGGAAGTTTGTGGACAGTTCACCTTGTTCCTGCTCCAGGTGTTCCAGGGAGTGAGGGGGTGGGATAATTGGCACTTCATGCATCTTAATTAACTACATAAGAGTAAGGATGCTTTATATAGGGACATGTTAAATATACGTTGTTGACACAATAGTTGAAAGTACAATAAATTTAAGCCCTCTTTTTTTTGTTTGGAGACCGGATTTAAAATATTTTTTAACTTACCAGGCTGCTTCTATTCCTGAAGAGTAGAAATTTTGATATCCAGCAGCTTTAAACCTTGAGCCTATTTCAAAGCAAAAGATATTTTGATATTTCAAAGATATTGTTTTTGCAATTCCAAAGGTGATTATTAATATCTGTTTCTTTTTATTCTTTAGTCTACACGGGTAGGGATGTCTGTGAATGCTGTTAGAAAACAAAGCACAGATGAAGAAGTCACAACACTTGCTAAGTCACTCATCAAATCATGGAAAAAACTGCTAGGTAAAGTTGTGCTCTATTTATTGTAGGCTATGCTAATACTAGCGGAATCCACGTGACACACAAACTGTAATAGCTATATGTTTATAGGATTGCTTCATTAACTTTTGATTTTGATGTTAGCTGATGAAAAATGGCATATTTCAGCCAGGCAGAAAGTGCTGCCTTGATTAGTGGAAGTTTTGTTTTTAGTGGGGGGAAACTTAAGTTATGTCGAAGCCAATAGAAGTCAAGTGCATTTCAATTTATAGTTAAAATGACTTTTATCCATTACAAAGTTGTATCAAACATAAAATTTTGTACATGTATGGTTAAAAATTTCTAATGCATCAACCTTCAGAGATAATTTAGTAAAAGCTGGATTTGACAGACTACCAATGGATGTATTTTCAAGACTACGTTCTAATTAACTGGTGCCTATTTGACCTGTTCCTCCAGCATTGTGTACTTTTTCACTGTTCATCTAGAATTTGTATTTTATTCTTAAATATCGACTCTGCATTCATTACACTTACAGTAATACTGTGTTTTGTAACTTCTTTTGGTTCTTTATTACCTGTTCCATAGCCACAAAAAGACCACCACGTCCTTACCATTGTACGTTCTTTTCAAAATTTAAATTCTTTGATATGATGTGATGTAATTTTTTTTCCTCAGCTGTCCAAATAGTTCTAGTAAACTTGCTGTCCTAACCCAATGAGCTAAGGTCTTGAGCCATCCTGGTTGCCCTTCATTGTATTGCTTTAAAGTTCATAATGACATTGAACACAACTTGTTCCATTACTCCAAATACCACATTCTGTATGTTGTGTATTATATTGATAAATCAGAATAGCTTTGTGTTGTTTCCCCCTGACCATAAGATTCAGCAAACTGTGTGGCATGGATTTTCCCTTTCCCTAAATCTAGTATGAAGTCAAGGGTGTGAAAAAAGATGTGCTGTGAATCACATTAAAGTGCTGTCTGTGAAGATACTTTGGGAAGTCAAATGCACTAAATATCCTTCACTTTTAATTTGATCTTACAGAATGAAGTAATTGGGATGTAACATCGCATTAAAACAAGCTGCCACATTACAAATTTTTAAAAACAAATACAATATGAAGTCTTAAGATTTTAACTGAACAATCTGGCCTTATTTTTCATTGCCAATAAAGCTGTTCAGCATTAATTATGAACTTAGTATGGCATTAAGAAGCCAGTTGCACTCCATTCAGTAAGATGCAGTTTTTTCTTCAATGGTTTTTGGAGCAAGATACATAATTCTGATTTGTTCAGTGATACTTGTATTTATATTTGATACAAGTCTATGGGAATTCAACACAGCCTATGGAGAAGTGTTGATTGACTGCATGTAGTAGATTCTAGAAGTTGCTGTTGGTTTTAGAGGAGTAATAGTAAGTGTTAGCTTTGGCATCAGTACCACTATGAAATCTGAGTTAATGTTTTATCTGCAATTTAAGGTGTTTTCAGCAATTGTTCATTTATTTGCCCGAACCTTTCTGCCTTAATCTGTGTACTTTTGTAAGCAGGGGTACATAATTAACAATTGCATTTCAAATAATTTATCAGAAAAAGATAAATGTCCTCTTTTGTCTTTAGTAAAAGAGCTTATTAAATGGAAATTAAACTGAACACTGCATTTTTCGGGATTACCTCTGAAATTACTAATTTAGAATATGTAGCATTTTTTTAAAAAATAAGTCTTTCATGTTCTGCAATTCTAATCTTTTGTCTCCAGTCTCTGAGCTTCTTGATCTCAGTGGGGGTGTAAAATTAATCTTGATAGATCTGGTGTAAGGATGTAAGATTCACTCAAGGTTACCTCCTCCTGATTTGCTGACTATGGACAAAATAATATGGCTGTAATAGATTACAGCTTTCCCATATCTACCAATTCTTTGACATGAAGAATCACCACATGAATGAAGGTTTGTAGTGTAACTACACCTGTTACTTCAGCATAATTTGATTCTTTCCTGAAAAAGCAGGTGAATGTTGAAAAGGGATGAGTGTATTCTACTTAAAAATTGAATCTACCTTTTGATATTTTTCATTTTATGAGTAAGCATGAAATTTCCTTGGACTAATTTTTGCTACTGTACGGCTCCAGCAGATGTGCAGTACTTGTTATGGATAGAGTGAGTGAAGAAAACTTTGCCTTTAACATGACTGGATCAAGGACAGGAGTGTAACTTAGAGGCAGGTAAAGGAACTGAGAGTGCAGGAGTGCACTTGCCCAGTAGGTCTTTGAGGCTGTCTCTGCCCCTTTCCTTGAGAGAAGGGACTGAAGGGTTGATGTGGAAACTAACCGTATCACCGTGGTGCTGGAAGCCATTCAAGTGGGGAAGCAACAAGGGATAGTAGGTGATAGTATAATGATTGACGTTGTTTACGACAAAGAACGAGAGTCCAGATGGCTCTGTTTGCTTGCGCACTGCCAGGGTTTGGGACATCTGCTAAGGGCTGGAAACAAACTAACTTGCCCCGGGAGGAGGGAAGATCTAGTGGCTACGGTTCATAAAGAGACCAGGGAAAATGGGCAGAACTAGGACGGACTCTGGACAGAGAGAGAGGAGCTAGGCACTAAATTGAAAAAGATTACAATCTTTGGGTTATTGCCTGAGGCATGTGCAAATTGGCGTTGAGTACGTAAGATTAGAGATAAATACATTGCTCAAAGACTGGTGTAGGGTGAGGTGGGTTCTGATTTGTGAACCACTGGCACAAGTACTAGGGAAAATGGGGGTTGGAGAGTCGGAATGACATACACTAAGTGCTGGGGCAAGTTGTCTTGTGAACTGCATATCTGGGGTAGTAGAGAGAGTTTTAAACTAAATGGGGCAAGGAGTCAAATGTGGAAATATGTGGTATATCAGAGTAGAAACAAGGTAAGAAATGAAAATATGGGAACTGAAGGTTAAAGAATGATTGAAAAAGGTGCAGGGAAAGTACCAACCATCCAGACGGGATGTTGCAAATATAACAAAAAACCTAAATGCCCTCTATCTGAATGTGCACAGCATTCGCCACACATTGAAGTAAATAAATACCCTCTGAGAGAGGACATGGCTTCAGAATTTCAAGGTTTGGGTTCAGAATATTGAGGTGTCTATGACATTCATGAAACATGTTAAGCTATGCAAAGGTGAAGGGGGAGGGCTGTTAATTGAAGTTGGCATTTGTAAAATAAGAGAATCAGGAGATCAGGGTGTAAAATTAGTTTGGGTGGCAATGAGGAGCAGTAGATGAAAGAAGTCACTAGTGGGAGTAGTTTACAGGCTCTCTTAGCAGTAGCCACAACATGAGAATAAATATTTTGGTGCATTTGATAAAAGGATGTCAACAATCAAGGGTGACTTTAATCTACGTATAAACTAGAAAAAAGTCAGATTGGTCCTAGTAACCTGATAAGGAGTTGACACAATGCTTTGGAGAGAGAGTTTTCTGAGCAGCACATTTTTGGACCTGTCGAGAGACCAGGTTATATTAGACTTGGTACTGTGCAATGTGATTTGATTGATTTAATGATCTGAGTTCAGGCACGCCGTGGTAGCAAAAACCACAATGAATATTGCATCCAGTTTGTATGGGAGAACACTGAGTCCAAGACTAATATTTTAAACCTCAAGGGCAGCCTTGAGTGGCGAAAGTTGAGGTAGCTAAAGTGAACTGGAACACCAGGTGATGCTGTAGGTCAATAGAGACAGTGGTGGATATTTAAGAGATTGTCTGTCTGTATTCTGAAGTAATGTGTCATCCTATAATGAAGAACATTCCTCCAGGTAGGACCCGCCATCCTGAGCTAAGGAAAGCAACACACTTAACCAGTATCACAACTAGATACAGGGCGAGGTTCTCCAATTCTTTACGGTTCCAGGTGGGATGCCTGAAAACATGTTAAGCTTATAAATGAGTGACAAATTGGCTCTGTGCTGTTATTCACTTTCCTCTTGGCTCATTAGAAAAAGGTTAATTTAGAAGGATCCCTTCTCTTGTGACTATCTTTAATCTCAGACCAAATGAATTTATGCTTCAAAATGGTGCTGATTCAGTCAGGCTGTCTTGAGTTAACAGAATGGGTTTGTTAATTGCAGTTTAGAAATAAGACACGAGTCCAAAAAGATAAATATTAAAAATAAGATATACAGATTAGCGTCTGAATGGTTTGTGAAGAGCAGATATTTGAATGTTACAGCTTTTGCAATTGAGTTTACTAGTTGTGTTGACTTGGTAGTTCAACAGTCAATTTTTAAGGTTCTTGACTTCGTAGGCTGTTTTTGAAGTTCCCTTGTCCTGATACTGACCGTGCTGAGAGAAAGAGGTTTGATATGACTTGTTCAGAATGCTTCTGTGTTATGGACCAGACTAAACCCCTTTTATAAAAGGGGTTTTATATGAAGAAGATAACCTAGACCCTAACTTTTTCTCTTATTTTAAACGCAAGTGCCAGGCATTGCATTCCAAATGCAATTTGGTCACACTACCAGATTTGAAGCAAAATACACTTTATTCATTCCCTACAGTTAAAATACAACAAAAGAAAGAAGAAATTGGAATAACTTAACTATTATTCTGTTTAGTAGTTAACTAATCTATTGGAAAACTAACAGTAACTGTTCCAATGTAGTAACATCCAGTAAACACACTCTTGGCAAAGGCAGATTCAGTAACATAATCTCACAGGCAGTTATCCTGTCCAGGAAAAAGATATCAAGAGAAAACACAGAATAGCAGGGAGAAATGTATGGCAGCTTCCAAACCCAGCTTCAAGACCCCAGCAGCTGCTACTGAAAGTTAAACAAGAACAAATCCTGGTTCTCTGGGAGCTTGACCCCACCCATTCAGGCTGCTTCTGTTGTTCCAATTTTAAAAAAACTACTGCTTCACAAGCTGTTTACTTTTTTGGATTCAGATACACAGCTTGCCACCTCTGTCTTAAAATCTTTCAAAAAACGGACAAAATACTCCGCTTAAAGCCATAATATATGTTATGGAAGACAATATAAAAGCGTCTGCTTTTAATTTTTTTTCCCAACTGATTTGCAGAACTTAACAGCAAGCAAGTCTTTACTTGCAACACAGGTAACCAGGGGATAGATCTTTGACTATCACCTTCATAGCATGCTAACACTTGAAACCAGTCTGGTACACATACCGTTAAACTATGTTAAGCAGATTCAAAGCTGAAATAGGCAAATTTTTGATTGTTAGAGGATAGGGCAGGAGAGTGGAGTCGAGGATCATCGGATCAGCGATGATCTCATTGAAGAGTGGAGCAGACTCTGAGCTGAAGGGTCTACTTCTCATGCCTTATGGCTTTATGGTGTATACTGCTCCATAGATTAATGCATAGTAGCTTGTTTACGTAAATCCTTTGAATTTTTTACAACTATATGATGTCGAACCTTTTCAGGAACAATTCCTGAGAATACCTGGCCTGCTTCAATTGCTGAAGCACCTTGAATTAGTTAGTTGCACTTTATTTATTCTGTTTCTCTGGTCGTGATGCGGAGTTCTGTTTTTCCTGAAATGGCTACTTGCATTAAATCAGTCTTCCGTTTAGCTGCTGAATATAGTTGCTAACAAAAATAGTTCGGAGATTTATTTTTTTACCTGTGGATGTGTTATGACAACCTCTCTGCATTTAACCAGTCAAGCCCCCGCCAGAACACACTTCAGTAGTCATCATATCTTGAGGTGAGACTTGAACCCAGACTTGCTAGTCCCAAGGTAGGGATTCTACCATTGCACTACAAGACCCTCTTTATGATGTCTTTGTCTGGATTCACTTGTTTCTTAGGTCTGCCTGCAGATCTAAGTTCCCCTCAATTTGATTTCTGTGCTTGCACACTGTTCAAGTTTTGTAAAGTTTTGTTGATCTTTGGGGAAAATAAATAACAGTAGATTGAGTCTAGTATAAGTAATAATACATAATCTTGACTGTACTTTAGGAATTGCAGTGTTATCTATCAGTATCCCTTTATTACAATCTCTATTTTCTGACTTGTCAGTTGCAAGTAATTTCAATTACTTCAATGAATAGTTCAGTGCATTAGAAACAAAGGGAGACATGTTATGACTCACTGGGGTAGTCTGCTGAAAGTCAAACCCTGTTATTCTTGGAGTCATCCCTTTTAAAGATTTTAAAAAGGACACAAAGTTCCCCAGTTTGCCTGACCTTCAGATCCAGGTTGATAGAAAACACTTACCAGGTTTCTGTACTTAACAAGAATTACTATTTCCTAGAGCAAAAGAACTAGGAACAAGAACAGACAGTTCAGCCCTCAAGCCTACTCTGCCCTTTAATGCAATCATGGCTGAGCTCATCTGAATCAGAAGTTGAAAATTTTAAGAGCTGACTCTTCAGTAATCTGGATTATACAGAGGTGCTTGAAAAGTTAGTTGTGCTCTCTCCCAAAAATAAATTGTGGTGAATTACAAAAGCTAAGTTGTAAAATTTGTAAAGAGACCAGGAGAAACAACTATGCATGATATTAATGTGGGGGATGTGTTACCTACAAAACAACATCGTCTACAAAGACGATATCTGCTTTTTTGTAACCCCCCTGGACTTTATCGAGTAAAATTTTATAATTTGGAATGAAAAACAGATGATCTATTAAAAGATTTATGCAGTTGTGTGGTATACGTCAATCTGGTTGTGTTCAGCCAAACCTAAGAAGAATATTCATAATGCTGGAACAAATTGTTTGGTTACAAAGAGCCAATTTAGTCATAAATTTGGCCAAGTGAATTTGCCTAAACAGAAATCTAGTGCTTATGCTGTGGGATGAGGCCAAGTAGAAGCTAGAGAAAGTTAGCTTGGATTTTCTTAGGCCTGAAACAAAACAATAATTTTTTAAATGTATAGGTAAGAGTGGAAGTTTGTTTTGAATTTCTGCACTGTAGTGGTTCCTTTAACAAATGTGTCAAAGAAAGACAAGAAAGTTGAATTGACAAAAGAATGTCAGAGTGCTTTTGATAATGTTGAAATTTGAACCAGCAACCCAACAGTTTTGGCAGCACCCATTTAAGCTGAGCTATTTTAACTGATGCCAGCAACATGAATATTATTTTTCATGTAAACTGAATGTATGTCAACAGGAATATTCAACTGTGGAGAACAAGACTGAGTTTAGTATTTGCTTTAAGTCCACATCTCTAACAATCCTGAAGATACTGTTACTTATATGGATCATAATCCTCTGTCTAGCTCGCTCGCTCTCTCTCTGTCTAGCTCCCAAAAGATTTTTGCACAAATTTGAAACTATATTTCATTAAGCATTTAATGCTGTAACCATACAATTTGAAAACTTCACATTGGAACAGACAACCTCATAATGGATGCCTAATCATGAGCCAAAATGAAGGTCACAATGAAAATGGATTTGTGTGGAACATAACTGTTATGGGATATACTTGTTTATTTCATGTGTATATTATCAATGGTGAAATGATGTCTCCACAAATAGAATAGGTATGATGATGGGAGGAAATCTCACAAATATCATTTATGCAAGGCATGTAATAAAGGTCCATGATGCAATATTATTTGGAAACTTGGAATCTAATGTGGAAGAACCACGTAGAATTTAAAGTTTGATTTGTATTTCTGTATTGTGTAAAGAAAGACATCTTTCAAGTTCCATTTTTTTAAGTTCAGAGAGTGGTGAAAATGTTGTCTGGAATTTTGTTTACATTCATTTAAGTGAAGCTTTTGACTTTTGTTTTGGAGGTGTGTTGTTCAGTGTATCTGTAATATGGGGAGAAGAGGGAAAGAAAATAATAGGCTGTTCCTGAGCAACAAAATGTCTGATGACACAGCGACAGAGACAAATCGATTCGTTTAGAAAGACTATGTGCAGCTTTCTTTCGGAGATAATCAGCTCATTTGGAAAGAAATGGCTTATGACGGCAATGCAATTTAGCAGTGTCTAAAACATTCGGGGCAGAAGAGTAGTGTTTGAGTGACTTCATGTTACAGCAAGTGATTAGGAAGGCAAATGGAACCATACAGTCCCTTCATCCCAGTTAGATTATAAATAGTTGAAGCCCCAGCATTGATCCCTGTGCAGTCTACTCGTTGCATCTTGCAAACCTGAAATGACCCATTTATGTATACTCTCTGCTTCCTGTTAGCCAATTATTCCTCTGTCCAAGCCAATATGTTAGCCCCTCTACCATGAAGTCTTATTTTGCGTAGTAACATTTGATGTGGCACCTTGTCGTACGCCTTTGAAAATCTACATACATCTACAGGTTCCTGTTTGTTTGTTGCTTCCTCAAAGAACTAATTTAGTTTAGTGAAACATTATTCCCCTTTCACAAACAAGTATTTATTTTGTCCTAGTACTTTGAGATTTTTCAAGTGCTCAGCTTAATGCAACCTCCTTTATGAGTAGATTTTAGAATTTTCCCTGTCACTATTGTTATTGTTATTTGGCCTGTAGTTTTCTGATTTTTCTCCCTCTTTTCTTAAATAGAGGAATTATGCTTGCTTTTTCCACACAATGGGTCCTTTCCAAAATCTAGGAAATTTTTGAAATTTAGTACGCATGCTGGGTTTATCTCAGCAGCCACTTCTATTTGACGCAAAGATGAAGTCCTTTGGGACCTAGGGATTCATCAGCTTTCAGTTCTGTAATTTTCTGAATACTGTTAATGTATTAATTGTTTTAATGTCATCCTTTCCAATTACCTCATGATTTACTGTTATTTCTAGTATATTATGTTTACTGTCCAATGAGGACAGGCAAAATATTTCTTCAATTCTTTACTGTTTCCTTATTTTCCATTATTAATTCTCCAGATTCACTCGCTGAGGGACCACTGAACATGTTAGTTATGCTTTTCCTTTTTAAAATGCCTGTAGACATTCTATCTGTTTTTTAGTTATACCTAGCTTTCCCTTATGCTTTAATTTGTGCTCTTGAATGTCTCAAGTTCAGTGATTATATATAAAGTGGATGGTGTGCTAATTTCAAGATACTGTAGTTAATGTTTGTCTAAATTAATGGTTTGCAGATGGTCCTGCAGGAGACAAAGATACTGAAGACAAAAGAAAGGACTGTTCATCTTCCTCAAAGAACATTTCAGACTCAACAGAGCAAAGGTCTTTTCAGAGCTCCTTTTTTAATGTTTTTAAATTAATCACCTTCTATAATACATTTCCATTTTAAATAGAGCAACTTGTTGCCCCTCTCTGACTCCCTGCAGGTAATTTCTCTGACTTGATTAGCCTCTGAAAACTTGACATGATCCAGAGTTTCACTATTGGTGCCCTAACTTGCATCACGTCCTGATCAATACTGTGCTGTTTGACCTTTAATTGGACCCAATTAAGCAATGCCTCAATTTAAAATTCCTCATTCTTGTTTATGTATTTTGCCATGCACTCACAATTCTGACCTCTGTATTCTCCTCTAGCCCACAACCCTTTTGAGATATCTGCACTCAGCCAATTCTGGCATCTTGAATGTCCCAAATTTTAATTATTTCCAACATTGTCTTTTTGCCTTCAGCTGCCAAGACCATAGGCTCTGAAGTGACTCCCTAAGCTTTGCCCTAATGCTTTAATTCGCCTTTTTAAATGTTCCTAAAATATATCTTTTTTGACTAAACATTTTGTTAAATGTGGTATTGTTTCTTTGTCCAGTTGTGTGACACTTCTGTTAAATATTATTGATACTTGTGTAGAATGTTTTAATGTAGTAATAAACTTGACAGAAGTAGAGGAGCTGCCATTGGAAATGGTGGTGATGGTGATGCAGGTCTTGATGGTGATAAAGGTATAATGGATCTTGCCTATCATTTGTACATTGTTTGGATTTTTGAAAAAGCATCGGGTTTTCTCATTCAAAATAAGTTAATTGTCTAGAACTGAGAGTCGAACGTTGCCTCTGATATTGAGCAGTGGGACCAAATATATGTTTGTTCCACCATGAACTAATATGGGGGATAAAAAAGGAACATTTCACACGCTGATTTAACAATTTCTCTCTTACCAATTGATCTATTATTTTTGGTAGTTCATGCCAATGAATGGCATGATTTTTCTATATGGAAAAATGAACAAATCAGCTTTTTTCTCTGGTTAGAAGAATAAGACCTCAGTAGTTACTGAAAATTAATAATGCCTAAATGGCTTAATTTCATTTCCTTAGTATCACATGTATACTATTGTAAGAGATTAACTGACTTTGAACCTCCAGTAATCTGAATAACCTGTTTTATAGCTTATAACAAATGTAATGAACCTTACTTTTTTTTTGATTTGGATATTTATATGGGGAGTGAATGGTATCATAAGACATAGGAGCAGAGTTAGGTCATTTGGCCCATCAAGTCTGCTTTGTCATTCAATCATGGCTGATCTGTTTCTCAGCCCCATTCTCTTGCCTCTCCTCATAACCCTTGGTCCCTTTACTAATCAAGAACCTATCTATCTCTGTATTGAGTACACTGAATGATTTAGCCCTCACAGCCCTCTGGCTACAGATTAACCATTCTCTGGCTGAAGAAATTCCTCCTCATCTCAGTTCTAAAGGCTTGTCCCTTCACTCTGAGACTGTGCCCTCTTGTTCTAATCTCCCCTACTCGTGGGAATGTCTTCTCCAAGACTGCTGTGTCCAGGCCTGTTGGTATTCTATAATTTCAATCAGAGATTCCACTCTTCTCCCCCCGCCCCCACCTCATCCTTCTAAATGCCAAATATAGACCTAGAGTCCTTCACTCCTCATAGGACAAACCCTTCAGCCCCAGGATCATACTTACGAACCTTTTCTGGACCCCCTCCAATGCCATTGGCTCTGCCCTTAGGGGGCCCAAAACTGTTCAGAATATTCAAAAGGCAGTCTGACCAGAGCCTTATGGAGCCTCAGCAGTACATCTCTACTCTTGAGATGAATGCTAACACTGCATTTGTCTTCCTAACTGCCAACAGAACCTGCATGTTAACCTTAGGAGAATCCTGAGCTAGGACTCCCAAGTCTCTTAGTGCTTCAGATTTCTGAAGTTTTTCCCTGTTTAGAACATAGTCTGCAGTTCTTCCTCCTGCTAAAGTGCATAACCTAACACTTTGTATTCCATCTGCCGCTTCCTTGCTCAGTCTCCTAGCCTGTCCAGTCCCTGTGCAGTCTCCCTGCTTTCTCAACACTATCTGCCCCGCCACCTATCTCTGTTGCTAAGTTTGCAGATGACACAGTGCCCTCAGTTCTTTCGTCCAGCATGTTAACGTATAATGTGAATAGTTGTGGTCCCAACACGGACCCTTGTGGAAATCCACTGCTCAGAGCTGCCATCCTGAAAAAGATTCCTTTATCCCTAACGTCTGCCTTTGCCCATCAGCCAATCTTCTGTGGAGCACCTTGTCAAAGGTATTCAATAAATCAGGTCAGTACTGGTGACACCTTTTTTCTTTAAGATGAGTGCTTTCACTGGATAACTGATCCAATTAATGAAAACTCAATGTCTTGTAGCTCTAGTAAGAGACCAGAACCAAGGACACCTACTACTCCAAAGATGACCACATTCCCTCCAATTCCTGTTACGAGTGATACTGTCCGCAATAAGTGCAGAGAATTGTTGTCGGCTGCTCTCCAAACAGACAGTGAGTAACATGTACATTAATTTCTCATTCTCTTACTTTAATTGAAGCTGCCAAACCTCCTCCATTGCTGAAGCTGCCTGTAAAGGGCCTTGTTTTCTCTTTTGCTTTGTCATTGCCTTTGCCCTCAAATATTCCTATTGCTGAGGTGGCTGTTTGTGATCTTGGATAGAAGGCACAGAAAAGGATGCTACGTGATGAAAGCCTCTCCACTTTATGTCTTCTAATCATCTTTTCTATGAAAAGCTTTTTTTTTGCCTTTCTCTATTATCAATTCTGCTAAGAGTGCACTTTGGAAAACAGGGAGCTACATTCATAATGGAGGCTAGAAAAAAGAGTTTAGACAGCTTTTTTTGAAATTGAGAGATTGTTGTCCGCTGATCTAAACCATTCATTAATGCTATGAAAACTACTTTCCGCTCCAGCTGTTTCCTTTCTACAGAATTCAGACTAAATATTAGTAGTAGCACTTTTTGTCACAGTGAGATTATCATAAACTGAAATAATCAGTACAGTACAGAGGGACTGCTACACTGGAGGCAGTTTTTGAATGAAGTGAAACCAAGGTGCTGTTTGTTGTTTTTCAGGTTGATGTTAAAGCTGTATATTATTCAAAGAGAAGCAGGGGAGTCCTAGAAATGCAAACCACTTTCTTTTTTTAAAAAAAAACAAAATTGGTTACTTATTTCTGGCTGTGAGGTTTTGCCAAGTGCAAATTGATTGTGCAATATAACAATGCTTGCAGTTAATGTATAATTTATGAATTACATTCAACATCCTGAGAATGTGGAATATGCAATATTATTGCAAGTTCTTTTTCTAAAAAGAGGAGCATGTATATTACTTCTCAACGTTCCTTCCACAAACTGGCTAAAATTGGATATCCTACTGTTTTCCGATTATGTGAGCATGTTCACAGTTGCATTTCTTTGATAAGTGACGGACTAGATTTTAGTAATTAAATTTTGAAGCTATTTTGGATGTTTGAGAATGTATAAATGTAAGTTGCTTTTTCTCTTCAACCCTTAAGTTTCCCATATGGTGCTTGCTAGTTCTACAGTTGTTTTTGCCACTAAATCAATGACATTGTCCTGCTATATTAGCTGTTTACCTTCCATCTCAATAGAAAATGACATAAGAAACACAGGTTTAAGATACAGGGAAAGAGATGCAGTTGGGATGTGAGGAAGACTTTTATGTGCATTAAGTGGGAATGACCTAGAACACTCTGCTTACAAGTGTGGAAAATGTCAAGGTAACGATTTGAAAAGGAAACGGTTTATGCGCTTGAGGGAAATAGATCTGTAGAGTTATGGCAATCAAGCAGGAGAATGAACCTGGCCACTTGGGTGAGCGTGCATTAATCGAATGGGCTGAATGTCTTTTTGTGCTGTAATGAGACAATGACTTGTGCCTGACTTGATGCAGAAGATTATTTATTTTTATTATCCATTTTCACTCACTCAGTTTCCTCAACCTCTTCATCATTAAACTGTCTTTGCCAACTATATGCTATTTGGAGTAGTAAGAGAGTGTTGTTGTACTGCTCTGAAACCTCTAGTAATGGATTTTTTTGGTTCATAGGTGTAAAAGAGTTTGATCACAATTCTCCCATTGATTTTGCAGTTGTTATAGGGCAACACAGATCATTCACTTAGTATTAAGGAAATAGCTTTTGTTTTTGTCTGAAGGCTTTGTGCCAGAATTTATCCAGTTATTTTGCATTCAGGTATCTCCACTGTCTGGTTTTGTAATCTGTACATGTTGTAGAAATTCTCTTTTTATTCAATAAATGCAATTATTTTCCAAAAATAAATAACAGATATTAGTGGCTACATTAATGAAGAAATGTTACAAAGAAGCACTCCCAATTGGTCATTTCCAATGCTTCAACCTTCACTCACTTACCAAAATTCTCCAAGTACTCCTTTCTGGCTTTTCGTACTTTGCATACAAGAGAAGCTTTGATTAAATGTACATTATTCAGCTCAATTGTACAAACCTAAAATATACTTATTGATGGAACTAGTTGATATGCTGTGAGGTTGCATACAGGAATTCCAAACCTCTTAAGGTTAAGTGAGGCTAGGCTATAACAGAACTGGGGTCACTGATTATAATACAGTTCCTAATTTTAAAGTTGTACATTCTGACCTTATCTGATACAGATTCTTGTGTTCACATTTGTAATCTTGTGTTGTGTCGCTACAGTCTTACCAGACCTCAGGGCTGCGTGCTCATTAGAGAGAGATGACTGGCGGTGATTTGACCTGTGCACCACCATACCTCCTGCAAGGGGAAAGGTTGAAAAGAAGAGTCCTTCACGGTATCCTCAGCCAGTGATGGGACTTGAACCCATGTTGTTGGCATCAAACCAACCCTCCAGCCAACTGAGCTAAACCGACCCCCATGTATACTGTAAACTGCGTGTTACGTGCACTTACACCACCTAATGGTGGTGTCATTGCAGCTCCTCCACTGCCAGGAGAATATAATTAAAGCCTGACAAGTTTTTGTAGACAAATCCCGCGACACTTGTAGTCATTGGAATTTATAATGGCTGTGTTTCACATGATGTGCTTGTAGATACAGCGTTTTGTTTATCTAATTTTATTTGCATTGGCGTTGCACACACATTATCTTAAGTGAAGCATGACTACTGGGTGGATGACAATTGTATCTGACATTCTGGGATAATTTAGCCTCCATTTCAAAGACTATGCTATCCCCCATGGAGACAAACAAATCAAAGAACTAAAATTTATCAAACAACCCAAACAATAAAACCAGTGGACAAGATTTCACTTTTGTCTTTGCAGTCACCTTTTTCTAACTGAACTACATCGCATCTTAACTCGATCTTGCAGACTGATTTTTGTGCCCCATCCCTAGGTCAAGAGATTGTGGATTCCTCCTCCTACATGGTTGCTGGGCCAATGCGGGAAGTTGTAAATGCCTCAAACAGGGGAGAGGTAGCCCTGCTGTCATAGGATTCAAACTGGGAGATCTCCATGTGCAGCTTCACCATGTGAAATGCCATGACTTTGCTGTAATGAAATGAATCCAGGCAATGCCTAAAATATTTGGAATCTTAATTTTTTTTTTACAGGAAACTTTATAGTTGAGAAAATGCTTACTTTCTTAGGATATTGTTATGGACCAGACCAGACCCCCTCAATATATTTTAAGAAGGTAGCCTAGACCCTAACTTTTTCTTATTTTAATGGTAGGCATGAAGTGCCACGTTCCAGATGCAATGCGACTGGTCAAGCTACTCAACATTAAGCAAAACACAATTTATTTAAACACTATAGTTAAGATACAAACAAAAGAAAAAGGAATTTAAAATAACTTAACTATTGAAAAACTTAACCTAATAATACAGTAACTATCACTAATTAACTGTTCCAATATAGTAACATCCCATAAAAGCACCCCTTTGGCAAAAAGGCAAATTCAGACACAGATTCTCACATGCATCTCTCCAGTCGAATAGGGAAGAAACATCCAGAGAAAATGCAGAGAGAATAGCAGCTAGAAGATATTCCCTGAAGCTTCCAACTTTTGTGAGGTCCCAATGGCTTCTGTTCAAAACCAAACCTAAAAACTTGAAATAACAAGGT